TCTATACATTTTACCCCTGCGTTGCCCACACAAAGGGGTGAGTCAAGTTGAAATGGCAACATCCTTCTCTCAATTTTACCCCTGCATTGCCCACATAAAGGGTGAGTCAAGTTGAAACTCACCAAAAATTTGCAACGGATTCCATGACTTCTGCTCCGAAGTTCCTTTTTTACGTGCCTTCTGTGAATTTGGATGCGCTCTCTGGAGACTTGCTCAGTGTGCCCTCGCCAAGGCTGGTATACTTCAGGAACACCCCTTTGTCAATCATTGTCATTGTGTTCTTTGAAGGCAGTATAGAAAACAGTTGTCTATATGTCTGTCCTTCAACAGCACAGGCGCTATGTCCGCAGGAACAGGCCACCATATGGGCTGCTAATCCGCCATATGCATATGGTAGCCTGTTCATCTGCAAAACCACGCTTGCCCAAGCAAGCAGTGAGTTCAATTATCCTGCCACAGTTGATACTGCAGGTCATTCTACACGATTGTGCCTTCCAGTAGAACAAGCAGTCAAAACATTTGGTAAGCAATTATTTCATGAAACAGCAATTGATGAATGCCCAAGCCTTACAGTCGAGAATGGATTATACGTTTGTATTTACGGAGAGGCTGCGTGCGTTGTCTTCCAGAGAGCTCAGGCTCTCCTGAATGAATTATGACGAGGCTAGCCCTTTTGCCTCTCACTACTCTCCGTTTGATACAACGTACCTTCTCGGCTGGGCTTCGTGCAGTATATTGGCACTCTATGAGCGAAAATTGTGGCAAAACACTCACTCATGTATCTTCTTTACATTTCTTGATCCATTTTCTCACTCCCAGACTGGCTTACAGACGTATCAGTGTAACAAACTTGCTAGCCGCTTGTGGATTTCACAATACTGTCGAGCTGGAGGATGCAATGCGTACCCTCCTGCGCATACTAAAGAACTATAGAAACTGGAATATACCAATGGTCACCAGCAGTACAGAACCTCTCCTGGCAATTCTGCCGAATGACATACCTACTCTGCGTGCAGTACCTTTGCAATTCTGGAATTTGTGTCGACAAGTCTTAGATTTCCGGCTACAACGACCCATGAACCTTCCTGCGTCCGTAAGGCGGCTGTACAGTTGGAACCTTAACAGCTGGCATCCTGATATTGCTGCCAATGCTCACAAAACTTGGATTATACGAACTCTTCTTAAAACAGCTCCTGTCCTGTTGCAGGAGACCAAATGGACCCAAGTACAACTTCAGCACCTGGCGCACACTTGGCCAGATATTAAAGTTGCTGCCACGTTAGCAAAGCAGGACCCGAATCCACAAGCTGGGGTCGCCATCCTGGTTCCCCCTGGATGGATTATTAGTAGTCAAAAAGTTCTTGTTGACCACTATGCGGTTGCAGCGAGTGTGTCATTCCAAGCTTGCCAAATATGGATTGTCTCTGTCTATTTACCACCCCAGAGTCCACGAGCTTTGGTTGACCAAATCTTCCAAGCTATCCTTACACTCGATGAACGCCCAGTCTTTATTGGTGGTGACTTGAATCGATGTGATCAATATCATCAGCAAGCCTGGGGTGACTTCCTTGGGCAGGCTGGCTCCACCGATGTAGATCCAACTTTTCCAACTTATCGTTATGGCCATCAGCAAGGCCATCAGCAAGAATCACCACTTGACCGTTTTCTAGTCCCTAGCATCTTTTTGGATACTGCGCAACTACATGCTCAAGTCAAAGGAAGAGATCGTGTCAAAACCTGTCATCATAAGGTTATCACAGTACTTCTTACGATGAAACCACGGCTCCTACCACATCCACAGTCTGAAAGGCATCAAACGATTCCTACTAAAGTCTTCTTGGATCCAACTGGCATTGCCTGTGGAAGAACAGAAGCTAACAGGCAGCAAGCCTTGCGTCAACTCAGGCGAAAAATATCCTTGGCACAAGAAAGCTGTCCGGATCACACACCTATCTCTGTGCATACGAGAGGACTTGTCTGGAGTTGGTGGAGAAGTGCCTCTAGCCTCTTTAAGCAGCTGACACCGCTCAAAAAACTCCACAAGTTCCTTGGCAAGGGCCTGGCCGTTATGCACATTGGAGAGGATGATCTGCGTCAGCTACATGAGCAATGTGGCCTTGCGGAACTTCTATGTGATTGGCCTAAACAGCACCATATGTCGTTGGTGCCAACGACGGTTGTTGCTACAGCGCTTCAAAGTGCTGAAATTGCCACTGCTACCCTCTTCAGTCTTCCCTTCGGACAAGAGCACACTGATCCGGCTGGGCGAGCAAGACGGCAACGTCTCTTTTGGGATCGTCTCAAAACTGTTTGTCCACGGGGCACCTTCAATCGAGTATATACTTTTTTGTCGGTGAGCGGTGACCGGGCCGGTGACCGGACAGGGCCGGGCCGGAGACCGGACCGGAGACCGGGCCGGAGACCGGGCCGGAGACCAGAGACGGACCGGTGACCGGGCCGGTGACCGGTGACCGGGCCAGTGACCAGACCGGTGACTGGGCCGGTGACCGGAGACCGGACCGGTGACCGGACCTCTTCCACCAGTGAGCCTGCAGTTCATAGTGTCACTCATCCTCTTGAGTGCTTGTTGAGCACTCAGGCTTTGGGAAAGAATCTCAAGACCCATTGGCTTGCAGATTCCAAAAAACGTCTGTAGCAGACCTTACGGTAAACTACACTTCCCCTGGATCTTTACAACAGGCTCACTCGATGAGTCCGGTACACTCCAAAACTCGTTCCCACATATGCATACATCACACAAGCAACTCTTTACAAAAAACTTTTAAACACTCGAAAACACTAAAGCACTCTCACGTTTAGAACGTGCTGAGCACTGGTCTTGGAAAGTTTGCGTGCATTCTGCTGCACTGTGTCATCATTGGCATGCCAGGACCAAAACGGATGACTCCCATGAACGTGATCTTGAAAAGTGTGATTTTGCTCTTGCGCTCACCCTCAAAATAAGGATCCAACTTTGCAAGTCCCATTGAGAGGTCATCATTCAATCAACAGACACGCTTGCTGTGCCAAGACAAAGAGGTTGAAGACATTCGGCCATTGACAAACAAGACCAGACATGGCACCATGCACGGAACCGAATCCACAAAACCGCTCGGCAATTGCTGTGAGTCATCTGGACGAAAGGCCCATGTTTCAGTCTTGTTGCTTGCGTGCGTGATTGAGTTGAGATTGGCGTCCAGTTGAAGTTTGCTCTTGGAGACTTGTGGACGTCAAGGGAACTGATTGCTGAGCTGAGTCTTCCAAACGAAGAAGAAGAAGAAAAAGAAGAAGAAGAAGAAGAAGAAAAAAAAAGAGAAAGAACCTACCACGGTGAGTGGTGTTCCAATGCTCAGGTCGTAGGGGTATTGTGAGAAGGTTTATTTTCCAGTGAACGGGAGCAAGGATCGTTTGAATCTTTCTTGCTCAGGCATGGTTGCACCGATGTCGAAAGACTTGTTTTCGAAGTGCTTGTCCTCATTGAGGAAGAAGAAGACTTGATGATGTCAGCCTGTTGTTCCGAGCGAAAAAACATGAAAGGAATGTGGGAAGGCAGATCAAAGGCAAACCAGATGAAGAGGGGCCAGAAGGACCAAACCAAACCTCATCAGAACAAACTCACGGAAAACTCGCCTCGTTTGTGTATGTGATGTGCAGTGGGTGCATTTAAGGCCGAGGCTGGGATCCAATGACGCTTGTGGACGTTCGGTCGGTGCGACCACCTTCCGCTGTGTCCCAGGGGCTGGTGCCTCCGCTCGTTGTGAGCGCGTCTAAAAAGAGGCGGTTCTTAACTCAGTCCAAGGCTCCAACGCTCCCAGCAGGGAAAAACAACAAATCTTGTTGAACAGGGCCACGGAGGGCACTTTTTGGGTTCTCTCCGGGGCGGCGCAAAACCAGACACGCGGGATCACGGGATAATAGTTCGCACGAAGGCCGCCAATGGCGAAAAATACACTGAAGGACAAAGCTGCCAGAATCATTGAATAAACGATGTAACACGGAATGCGGCCTGACATTTCAAAGGTTCCTTAGTTTCAAACCCGAAACTCACGAGTCTCAAATGCAAAATACATTCCTCACAAAGTACAGTTCGTGACTGCATTGATGGAGCCAACGCAAAAGCTGGAAACTTGGGGGTTGGAGGTAAAACGCAAATACGCAGTGGAGTGTCCTCTAGTGTATCGGCGCCAACTGATACCGTCTTCGTTGGGCGGGCAGTATCAGCGGTGTCCCGCACTGCCTTTATACCAAAATGGCACCCTGCGAGTCCAAGGTGCACACCCACGCAAAAATCATTTTTGTTCATTTGCCCAAGTACTCCACTGCATGAACCCGGCAAATGTGCGCACGCATTTTGGTTCATTTCCGGACACCACCGAACATACAGACTTGTTTGCCGACACTACTGAACACACAGGCTCATTATTTTCGGGTTTGTAGGTGGGAGGAACAATAACATTCGTGTCAATGCGGCACCGGCCACCTATCTCTTTCCAGAACAAGTTCCAAACCCGTCTCTCTCCTCCCTCTTTCGGGAACCACCTCCAGCTGAGCTAGCCAATGACTGGCTGCAATGACGGACTTACTTGAATGGGCCACTGTACCAGCTTAATCATTAATCACCATTCCCAATGACTTGCGCCTCCTCGATGGCCTTGACAGCTTCAATTTGTGATCGTGATCGGCGCGTTGTGGAATAAGGCGACAACATTTTTGTGTTCACGTGGTTTCCAGATGTTTGATGTTTGACAACAAACCGTCACGATCGTGCAATTCTTCCATTGCCATTTTTCTTGCATGTCTTGAATTTAATGTGTTCTGCAGTCATATATATATATATATATTTTTTTTTCAAGTCTACATTCAACCAGAAAGCTGAAGCATAGGAAGGTATTTGCATCCTGACATCAAAGCCATGTGCAACAGTCGGCCAGCTCGATGTTGGTCCGTCATATGGTTGCAAATTGATGGAGGCCTGCAGGCTGATGCAAGTTGTCCATATTTTCTTCCAAAGTTTGGATAAATTGGGCAACCAAACCCGCAGTTCCCCAGAAAAATATTGGACAAATGATGCTGCGTTGCTTGACTTGCCAACTGGTTTTGAACATGGTTTGCCAATGGTTTCATTTTTTGCGTCAAGGACCACCATCCCAAAAACCACTCCTCTGAAATGTGTTAAAACATGTTTCTGTTTTTGGATGGTCTTCTTTATACAGCGGTTTCCCCATTTCTTTGCTGGCTGCTTCACATCCCAAAATACATCCATGTCTTGTTTCACAAAGACTCATTCTTTCCTCGACCTGTCGATGTTGATGATGGTTGCCTCTTCCTCACCACCCCCATTCTTCTTTTCAAGGCTGTGATCCTGGTCGAACATCTTCTCTTCGAGGGTCTTTCCTTTCCTTCCAGTGTATGGGATGACTCCGGATCAGGTTCCCCCCACCAGTTGTCCCATGGATTCCAAGGATTGGGGCTGCTTTGCGTGGATTGGGCCTTCCACCTAGAGGTGTGGAGTTCCGCCGTGTGGAATGTGTCTGAAAGGGAAATTGGAAGGTTGGTCAAGCCGGCTGGCTTTCAAAACCTCTGTGGACGTAAAAAAACCATGTGGAACACCCAAGTGCATATTCTTGGAATCGTTTTGGCTGGGTGGTAAAATGACTCAGGGCTAGATTCTTGCCGACATGTGCTGTTATTTTTTTCCTTCTTTGCAGCAGTCATCTGGAAGCTTTGGTAGTCATTTGGTAGGTTGCTGATATATATATATATATGTATATATATGTATATATATGTAGACATTCCAAACAACACTGCAGTAGGACAAAGCTGACGCCATGTGTATTGATCAGTGTCTTCCGTTCAACTGACTCTACAACAGCGCTTGTGGCCTTCGATTTGGATGCTAACATCGAATCTCCACCTGGTTGGAACAAGTCATCTCTCACCTTGTTGGATCCTTTCACTCCATGAGATCACATGCGATTGAAGGAGGCATGATATGAAGTTCACAGGTGGATGCAGTTGATTGTAGAGCCGTTCCAAAGCTCGACTGGATGCCGCGGAGCCCGCGTGGCAGGTGACCGCCGACGAGGTGACAGCCACGGGTCTGGGAGGAAGGGAACGGTTGAGCGAAATGACCCCTGAAAGGTTGCTACCTTACAAACTGTAACACACATGTACACACACACACACACACACATATATATATATATATATGTACACATACATACATGGTTATGTACGTACGCATACACTTGCATACAGGGTCTTGACCCACAACCTTTAGACTTTAGACTTCTTTCCGTGTTCAACTTGTCCCGTTGGTGCTCACACAGAACTTGCCGCAAGCCATTTCAAGTGTTGTGAGCCGAGATCTCGATCTGACTGCTTTGTCCATTGTGCACCACACACATCTTGCCCATTGCATTGCCCCGTGGCACGTTTGCCGCGGGGTTTCACCCACTGCCGAGGCAAATGGAGACAATCGCCCCCAGAGTGAGGCAGGTACGTCGTGGAATTGGCTTGTTTTCCCGGTGGACCTGGAGAGGGGCGTCTGGGGTGCACCTGGGGGTTCTCGTCCGACCAACACTGCGTCTGGTGTGCGTCTGATGTGCAGAAGCGAGGGTCTGCTGTTGTTTTTAGCCCAACCGACCCAAACTCACCCTACTTGATGGGGCTGTACATTGCGATTAAAGCTTCCTTCACCCCTGGGCCCTGGATTTAGCGAGAAAGATCCATTTCTCTCTGGTTTGGGGCCAGGTGTCGCTGACTTGCCTGCCGACTGCCTCCAAATCGGACCTGGCGACAATCAACACCCCACCCCGCCACCCCGGATCGACCACTGATGGGAAACTTCTAGAAGGTCTTTGCTCATTCAACTAGACAGATCCATGCAACTGGAGGCCTCGGTTTTTGTGCATGACTGGACGCGTGGCCCGATTGCTCCCGCGAAAGGCATTTAAAATCGGTTCCGAAGCCTCCGCCCCCCGCGCTCGCGCCGGCTAACCTCGTTGCCGCTCCCCTTGTGGAGGTGCTCTCGTTGGTGGTCAAAGCCTTGGGCTTTGGCGCCAAGGAGGCAGAGAACATCTTACAGAAGCCCTGCCATCCTTCGGTGCCCGAGACAACTTGTTGGGTGAACAGATGACCCTGCTGACCTTCCCTCATGGTGACCGTGGATGGCCCCTGGAAGGATCCTTTTGTACCAACAGTGTCCACGAAACCATGTTGGTTGCAGGGAGGGTATGTTCTGTAGTCCGTTTTGGGGTTTCTCAGAGTGAAGGTTGGTGGAAGTGAGTCTTTGGTGGTGTTTCTGGTGGATCGTCTCGTGAGGAGTGTTGCCCTCCGCAAGAAAGCCCCAGCCAGCTGGACGCATGCTGGTGCATGCGCATGCGCTGTGAGGTGAGTTACATGGATGTCCGGTGCAACGAGAAGGGCGAGCTGACTTTATTATGGATCAATCGGCAGATCCGTGGAAGGATTCCTAAAGAGATCGGGCAACTGCAGGCGATGGTCAGGAAAAGGATGGACTCTGGCATTGTGTTTGATATGTTTTGATTGCTTGCTGGATCTTGCAGCTCTTTGTGAATTATTTGCCGAATCAAAGTCTTTATTCTTGAGCCGCGCTTTCTTGTTTTGGACACTGCCAAGCATTGAGATGTGAATCTTGTGACCTGTGTTCCATGGGATCACGTTGTTTTTTCACTATACACTGTGGAAGATTGGTAATTAACAGAGTCCATGGCTTGCCCCCCAAATTTGGTGGTTTTCAAGAGCTGACTGACTGGCGACTTGTCGCGAATGATGGAACGTTCCCTCCCCATCGAGATTCCTTTGAATCCACCCCCTGTCATTCCAGCCACTTCCGCCACCGGTCAAGGAAGAACAGCCCCCCGGACAGCTGGCACTCCTCTTGGTGGCCGTTTTTCAAGCCGTTTTTTCCGTCCGTTCCACTCCGGGAGCCGAAGCACGCTCTGGAGCCGAACTCCTTCTTGGAAGGCTCTGGAAACGTTGGTGCTCTACCAGTGCTACCTCATCGGCTCGATTCCGCCGGAGCTTGGGGAGCTAAAGAACTTGGAGATCCTGGATCTGTCGGAAAATCGCCTTGAGGCAGGGTCAGTCATATGCTGGTTCACCGAGAATGGTTTGGTTTACAGGATGATCCGTCCATTCCCTGTCCGAAAGCTGCTACAGCATGCCTTTACATATGGAGAATTGCCGAGCTCAGCTCTGACAGAGTACTTATGATGTAGCATACACGTGAAGCACGCACTAATCCAGACTATTCCAGCACGGATGGAGCTTCACACTCTGGGTTTTGACTGGAAACCCATATGATGTATATATGTTTAATACATGTATATGTTTTCCTTTCCTTGGAATTTTTCAGGTTCTTCAGCCCTGGTTGATTGGGTGAAGTTGTTGGAATATCCCTTCGACGAACGATGCTTGAAATAGCCGCTTCAACTCGACCGAGTGTCGGACTGCAGCGGACCGCGAACGCAGTGGACCGCAGGGATCCATCCCCAAGGAGCTGGGACATCTCCAGAGGTTGGCCTCTTGGATGAGGTTTGGCCGTTGAGGTGCTTGTGACTGAGGTGCCTGGATGAGGCTGTTGATGGTGAAGCGAACCTGGAATGAAGTGGGAAGTGACACACCCAGTTGGCACATTCAGACTGTTTGGACGCAGCTTGAGAAACGATGTGATGCCGAACAGTCTTCTCACATTTCTGCATCTATTCTCCATGGGTTTGACCCGTTCACACTCCAGTTCTCTTCATTCCAAAGCTGGAGTTTCCTTCAGGAACGCTTGAGGATCTTCCACAACCGTCTCAGTGGCGAGATCCCCAAGGAGCTTGGTTCCCTTCCACAGTTGGTGGAACTGCAGGTGCAATCAAACCAACTCAGCGGGAGGACTGGGACTGACTTGGGACTGACTTGGACTGACAGGGAGATGTGCATCACTGTGCATCCAAAGAGTCAGGAAAGCAATGAGATGATATGAGCATAGAGTTTCAGTTGAACGTTTGGATGTTGGGTGAGTAGGTGTGAGTGGCAGTCAGCTCAACGAACTCATCCTGCTGTCCCACGAAGCTTTTCTGGGAGTTATGCTGAAAGTAAAACATCTCAAGAAAGTTCAACACATGGAGATGGGACCAAAAGATGTGGAGGGACCTGGAGGACGCCTACATATCCAAAGCAGGCCAAGCGCTTCTTTTTCTCTCTGCTGGAGGTTGTATATCACTTGAGCGGTTGTATATAGTGTCCTCAGAACGACACTCCCTGAAATGATCATGGAAGCGGAAACTTGTCATTTTCCTATATGGTTTTCCCTAGTACAAACTGGCATCTTTCAGGGAGTGTCTTTGTCCCAGGTGGCTGAACTTCTCATACGATGACCCCGCGCCTTGCGCCCGATGCCTGGTCCTTTCAATCTCCCCAGTCCCAACGCGTTGAAAGAAGTGGGAAACCATCCACCTGCCTGAAGCGTTCGAGCGACGACCCCAGACAAGTCGACCCCAGACAAAATGCATCTCTTCAACGGGATTTCTGGCAAAAGAACGCCAGGATCCCGCCCGAGTTGGGGCAGCTGCCGAATTTGGCACTCTTGAACCTGGGCGAAAACCAGCTGAGTGGCAGCTTTCCGGTGGCGTTGACCCGGTTGAACACTTCCCTTGCAAAGCTGGATGTGGGGCAGAACCTGCTGACCGGAGAGCTGCCTATAGAGTTGGGATCGATGCAAGAGTTGAGATCTTTGCGTCTGGGGCCTAACCGCTTTCATGGCTCCATCCCCAAGGCCTGTGGGTATTTCAAGCTTTCGATTTTTCATATCGGCTGGGAGAAGCAGGTTCGAACAAGCGTTTGGATCATCGAAGGACTTCATGTCATTCATGGATTTCTTCTTGTTCGCAGTTTTCGTTTTTGTTGTTGACACTTTTTGGAGAACATCGGCAGGAGCTGGGGCAGCTTGATTGTCTCTACAACTTAGATTGCTGGCAGTGTGGACTGGAGGGTGAAATCCCTCCAGACTTGGCCCGCTTGGAACGTTTGGACCAATTAATTCTGAGCCAGAATCGCCTCACGGGGCCTATCCCGAAGGACGGAGGGCGGAGGAGGGGCGCGGTTCTGGCTGCAGCAAAAGAAGTGGTGAAACTGGTCAAGACGTGCATTATATCATTGTATTTCAAAAACCCCGAGGCGTGAAGAGGTTTTACAATCCACATTGATGGATTCCTTTTTTTTAAGATTCTACATGAACCTGTCTTCTATGATCGGACCTGACCTGTCTTTCCACCCCAAAAATACCTGTCTTCCATGATCTTCTATGATAGGGTACATCAAGATTCTACATGACTTCCTGTTGCTTTTTGTGCATGGCCGTGTCTTTGCCGTGTCGGTGTTTGGCATGTGTTTTCGTTTCGGTGTTCAGCACCCACCAGCACCAACCGGCACACGCACGCGGCACAGCCGGTTCGCAGCTGTTTGGAGAAACGGATTCCCATGGAAACAGGGCAAGCAGCAGGATTCTTGAGAAGGACGAAGTAGCTAAGCATGTTTTGAACGGTTACATTTATGTATGTTGTTCTTTTGCAGCCTTTTGATCGTCTTTTTGGTGGTTGTTTGCAACAGAACAAGATCACACTTCTTTCAGAGAATCTGTGGTTTCTTTCCATCCTTCCTGTTTCGTTCCTTCTCCGGGTTTCCTCTGATGCGCCATCGCCAAACTCTTTTTGAGCGCCAGAGATCAGAACAATTATGTCTGAAGCTTGTGCTTCTTTGGGTACCATAGAAGTCTAAAGACTATTTTCGGGAACACCAAAGTGAAGGACATTCCTTTTCGGGTCACCTGAAGACCATTTTAGGAATGGTGTGAAGCTCCCAAGAGGGTAGGTACACCTGCAACTTCTCAAAGTGTTGCCCGTGGACCCGGCTTGAAGAGCTCACCACATGCACAGCATCAGGAGCTGGGGCGTCTGAAGCACTTGAGGGGGCTCTATTTGCACGGGAATCTCTTGTCCGGCAGCATCCCTGCCGAACTGCAGGGTCTTGAGGCGTGATTGCAGGGGTCTGGAGGCCTCTAGTCCTCCAGCAAAAAGAGACATGTACTGGTCTGTGTGCCTAGGGGTCCAGGGCACAATGTACTGGCTGGATTTTGCCCCAGAAGCGCTCAGGCGCTCAGCTGCAAGCGCAAAGCTTGTGTCCAACTCTTGATGCTTTCAGCGCGGAGCGCCCCCGGCATTCCTGTCGACTTGGAACCTCTGCCCTGACGTTCCAAGAATCATCGCAGATGACGAACATGTTTGGGTACTATGGGAAAGGCACTTTGTTAGATGGTGGGTCATTTCACATCCTGAGTGGCCTCTGTGCGTCTTATTCTCGAAGGCAATGGCTGTACGGTCTGGTGCACTGGACTTTTCCATCCTAAGCAAGGTATGTCATGGACTGCATGAGTTTCCATGAGGTGTATGAGCTTTTCCTTGTCTCTGTCTGGGGGTTTGAAGATGTGTTCTGACTGGTGTTTTCTTCCTAAACTGCTGCCTTTAAGGCAGCTTCGTGTTTGGCAACATCTCTTGAAATGAATTCAACAAACGACTAACAGGAGCCCTACATATAATTCTCTCTTGGCGTCAACTTCTGAACATGATGAAGATTGGGATTCAACGCAGCAGTTGTGCCTCAGCATCATGAGAACAGTTGTGGCGTCCATTAAGCTTGCCTGTCATCTTCAAGGGGCTGCATTCTTGCAACCAGAGGGGGGTGTTGTGAAGAAACCGCCCACTAGTGGTCCGGAACCCGGTGGTCCGGAACGGCCGGCAGGCCTTGGTCCGAATCGACCTGAGCGAGAACCGACTGACCAATGAGATCCCCGAGGCTTTGCAAAGGCTCAGGAGCTTGAAGGACTTGCGCTTGGCGGGAAATTGGCTCTCAGGGAGGCGGGACCCAGAAACGGAGACACATTTTTTCCAAGACTGTAAGGAAAGGTTGGTGAATGTGCGTGATTCTCTTGGGCGAGTGCTAGTGGGATGTGGTAGTTTGAAGAACAGATCCATCACCACGGAGGCTGCCGGCGCTGGACGTGCTGTCGCTGTGCGTCCTGGACCTGCGAGGGAACTTGCTCAACGGCGAGCTGCCAAGACTGCCTACGACGCTGAAGGTGGTGGACTTGGGGCACAATTGGCTGGTGCCGTGGATGAAAGGATGTTGGAAGTCGTGGGAGCCTTTCAAAGCAGGAGTTTTTGTGTGGAGTTGATTCGTGCTGAATGTAATCCAACATTTGGGGCAGCGATGTTCCTAGGGTGGTGTAACCACTAGGCAGGGGACGGGCAGCACATCTCCAAGCAAGTAGATAGGCATCCAACGCTGACAGTTCAATCTTTCAATGACGCCCACCAAATTATATAATAGAGGTGAACTGCTCTTGATTCTGTGTTGACGTCGTCTATGCTTCTTTGTTCAATTTCCTTCCATGCTCATCCTTCAGTCTACCTGGGGTTGAGACTCTTCCGCCGCCCTGCTGGGCGGAAGTTTCCACGATGTCCTTTGGTTGATGACAAACAGATGAACCTGGTGAACCCAACACCCTACGGCACCTCTGCCGTAGGGTGTTTACTCTCACTTGGGGGTGAAGACCGAACAAGTCCGGTGGAATTCTCGGTACGGCAGGGGGGCAACTTGTCTCAGCTGCAGCAGCTCTGTGTTTCGGGTTTGGTGCGAACGCTGCAGCTCAGCCACAACGACTTCACCGGCCCGATTCCGGTGCCTCGGTGGCTGGAGCCTTGAGCTGGTCGACGGTTGATGGAACTCCTGAGAAGACTGGGCGAGAGAATCCTTGTGCTGTTGATTCGAGAACTCAAAACCCATTCACCCATTGAAAAGGTAGTGCCACTGGCTGTCTTTCAACAATGTTGGGATACGCTGGAGTTGTTCTGGAGCCTTGTAAAGTTGCAACTTACAGTAGTTATATATCTAGAAGTGCATTTGGCATTGAGGGTTGATTTTTGTGGTTTGGAGGGTTGAAGAAGACTCAAACATTCCAACAACCGTGGGCAGTTGATTTGGGTAAAGCCGCCGTTTTTTCAACCTCCAAAACAGGTAAAAGCCGAATATGTGCCTAGAATTCAAATTGATGTGCCAACTGAAACAAACCGGCCTGCCTTAGCAGCCTTCCACTGGCCGCTGGCCACAGCCCAGCAAGTTCTGTCTTCGACGGCCGCCGAGTTCCGGAGGGGGGCTCTCTCCAAGTGTTTCTCTAGGCGTGCCTGCTGAAGATGAAGGAGCTGAAGCAGCTGTCCTTGAATAACAACCGTTTGCAGGGTGAGATCCCTCTCATTGAAGCTACACAGCTGGTGGTGCTGACACTTCACCGCAATGAGTTGTCGCTCAGCCCAAAGAAACCCCGCGCTTTCCGGCCGCGCGGAAGCGGAAGAAAGAGCGGTGCTGTGCTGGAAAAAGCCGTCATAGGCGGCGCGCGATGTTCGGCTGATACGTCTGTTTCGCACCGGAGAACGCCTGCAGAATCTTCTTCTTTGTGGAAGTTCAGTGATGAAGTGAAGGACATTCCTTTTCGGGTCACCTGAAGACCGAAGGGTCTCGGAATTTCAGGGTGGAAGCAACATCCATCAACATCCATTGTATAAGTGAGTCTCCTTGATCACGCTGCGAGGTCCTGAGAAGCTCATGCTTCGAACCGAAACTGGCCCACAGAGGCTGACTTCTCAAGCGAGAGCAGCGAGTCCGAGGTCCGGTGCGTTTCCATCCTCCTTGCAGTCCTTGCGCCATTTGTCGGTCTTGACTCTACATGAGAACTCCTTGGCTTCTTGGCAGAAGCGCCAGACTCGAAGCACTCGATTCTGTTTTTTTGGTGGTTTGGGGTCACCGGGTTTGGAAGGGCCATGTATTTTCAAACTCTGTCAGTTGAAGAAGCAGTTTGGCATGAAGGCTACATTATATAGAGCAAAGCCCATGCCTGACGGGGTTAGGCCAAAGATGTTGTGCCGCCCTCGCAATGATTTTCATTTTCAATAAACCACGTTGACCTTCTGGGAACAGGGCGGACTGGGTGGACCGCCGTTTGGCTCTGCGAAGCCCTCAAGTGCTGAAAGTCTGTTTGGCTTTGGCAAAGCTGCGCTGATGAGTTCCCGTGCTACCTGCCTCTGTCCTGCAGACGACCAGCAGCCCCTTCTCGGTCCAACTGCAGATGATGCAGGGACTACTGGCCAGTGCAGCTGGATGGGCACATGCGTGCAAAATCTCAAGGACTTTTGGAACAACTTTCGCTTCCGACTGCTGCGAGACTGTGCCTTTTTCTATGTGGATTTCGCTTTGGATGTGAACTCCATTCTGATCTACATCTCCACAGGCTGCATGAATTACGCGCTGCTCAACATGTTTGCCATCATGGGATCGAACGCTTACTCTTTTGTAGAGATGCGCTCATCGCGGCCTCGCGAGGAAGATGAGGAAGCAGAGGACCAGGGTGGACTGGTTTGTTCCTCACTGTCATGTTGTGAAGTTGGAATCAGTTGGGTGTGCTTTTCATTGGTTGGTACATGTTGGTACCGTCAAGCTCGAAACGCCTTGAACATCGTTGCTTGTCCTTAGCATCACCCTGCGAGGATCCCGTCGTATTCGTGACGGCAGGATATTTGGCACCTTTCTGTCTTCACATGGCATACTTGACGTGCGTCTCTTGGTCAGACAAAGGAGAAAAGAAGCATCGACTGATGGAGTGCAGCAAACTAGCCGAAGCAACTCTGGAGGCGTCAATTTCTGCCCTCTTATCAGCCTATGCTCTCGCTCATCATGACATTCCCCAAACTATTGTGTACCTGGGCATCACGCAGGAGATGATGGTGTTTGCATCAATGATATGGTCCTTCGCAACCATGGGCTACACCTTGATGGGCTTTGACTGCAAAGAGCCTGGTCTAGACCATCTTCCAGGAACAGCTGACCGTGAAGAAGATAGCCAGATGGAAAAACTGTTCCTGCTCGGAGTGGCGAGGACCTCGGAAATTGCTTCACGGATCTCAAGCATTGCATTGTTCAGTGTGTGTACTCGTGGCTTGGTCGATGTGCACTTTGCGGACCAGTGGCCTGAACCTTGGAAGTACCTGACCCAAAACTTCCTACTCACCTTGGGTCCTTCGTTGGTGTCTCAGCTGAAATAGTGGGTTGCGCTCGGGAGGCCTTCAAAGCTTGAAACTCAGGGTCATAGATTGTGTTCATTTGGGCACACTGTCACAGTTCTGCTGTTGTTGAGACCTTTGCTGCAATTATGTGATCTTTTGCGTATGTGTTCTTCTGATCACGCCCGAAAGATATCGAAAGATCACCCAGGTCTTGCTTGACTTCTGCGTCCAACTTCTTTGGATCCTTTTCAATGGTCGCGACGTTACCAAAGCATTCCTCAGCGTTGTTTGCTGCATGAATCCTTTGCTGGAGAAGGGCAACCCGTTCAGCGTCAAGGTGGAATTTTACTACTGCTTTCGCTTGGTCGAATTGCTCCTGATGATTTTCGCTGCGTGCCCTGGACCTTCAAAATCATATCCAATAATTCTTCATTTGCGCCCTGAGAAATCGTTTCTTTCCAGTCGGCCAAAAGCAACTTGCACTTTTCAATCTGTAAGCAAAGACTTGGGACATGTCAAGGTACGTGTTTGGACCTCATACCCACAGCGGTCGCAACGTCCTGACATATCACGAAAGCTAGCGTGCTAGCTGAGTTCTTCTTTGCTTTAGCAATTGGTAGTGGGATGAGCTGTGTGCCTTAAAGCTTGATCAATAACACCCACGTTGGGGGGATATCCCCCCCCTACCCCCCCCCCCCTCCCGCCCCCCACGGTTCGACTCCCAGCTGCGCCGTGTAGCGGGGGTTGGTTGAACGTGTGAACGTGGTTGGTTGGGTGTAAACGGTGGCTTGGTGTAAACGGTGCTGCTGCTGCTGCCGCTCTGCTGCTTGCTGCTGCTGTTTGCTGCTGCCGCTGGTTGCCGCTTTTGTAGCTGCTGCTTTGCTACTTGTTGCGGCTTGGTGCTGCTGCTGCTGTTGCTGACGACGCCGCTGCTGCTGCTGCTGCTGCTGCGGCTTGGTGCTGCGCTGCTGCTGCGTGGTGCTGCTGGCTGGCTGCTGGTTGGTGGTTGCTGCTGGCTGCTGGCTGCTGGCAAGAAAGCACAACTCACTTCTCAGAATCTCAACCTCGCGATGCAGAATAGCATACAGGTGTCAGCCTCCCAGCCACAAAACAACTTACACTCATGGTTATGTACGTCGGTGGCATGGCCCCTTCAATGAAACAAACATTCAGTTCCAACAACTCTGAATACCAAACAGGTGGTGCCATCATGTGCCATCCACTTCCACCACGATTTTGGTCAAGCAAGTGGAACACAGTGGACCTATCCCATAAGCCGGCTATTTCCTCAAGACACTCTACTCCATATACCTTTTACCCGTGCTTCTCCTACACCGGACGCCCTAGTGTATGCACAGTCCGCGTGATGTCAGAAATGCTTACCCCTCTTTCCGACTCAAGGCATACAAAAGCGGGGGGTAAATTTACCTCCCAGATTTGCCGATCACGCATCTTCGTGCCTGCCAACGAGTGCACCCGTGTTGTTCCAATGTACCCTCCCAGTCGGCGATGTCACATTTACATTCTTTAGCGCAAAGTATGTACGTAGCAACCTTTCTCCCAAAACATGTAATCACTACATGCTTCGCCGACTATGTAACTAGTACATCCGGTGCGATTCGGCTAGCTTTCGACCTCCTCCCCCTGGCCTCAAGTTCTTAAGGCATGAGCTGATCTCCTTACCTACCCTCTCACACGGACGAAGTTCTGGACAGACCACACCTGAGACCTCATCAACTTCCTATCGCCAAACCCCAGGTTTTCTAGTATGGCGCAGCGATGCAAACAGCAAACATGGCGCCGAAGAAACTGTATCATCATGTGCTGATCTCACGCGATGGCAAGTAGAAGTAGAAGCGGTAAGGTACAGGTCAGGCAACGTGCCCACAACCCATTTGCAGACCCGGACAGGCGGATTTAACTTGCATTCTTGAAGGGTTGAAAGGCGTGGTGTTTGGCATGTGCCGCTGCAACGTGGCTTCCTGTTGTTCCTCCCTACTCTTGGGTGGAGGTGCCATACAATCACGCTCCGGCCCCCGAAATAGACATGCAAGCTGAGCGCTTCCAGGTTCAAGAAACGTGGCGTATTTACTTGATATGACCCTTTGTCTCACAGAGATTTGAAGGTGGTTTGTAAGAAGCAGGAATATCACAACATGTCACTTCTGGGATCCTGAAACTAAGATGTAAGTTGGATCAATATGCAGCTTGTATGGAGGTGCGTTTTGCCGTGAGATGCACATTGCGGAGTTATCATTATGCTATTCCTTTTTGTGGCGGAGGTTCAATATTCAGAAGTGTAGCTAGCTGTAGCATGTTGTGGCCTCACCGATTAAACATTTTTGATGGATATTTTTCTGGGTGCTGGGCGTGAGAATCAACACATGTACCTTACTCTGAAGCTGTAACTCACCAGTTTCAGGTAGGGCGCCAGAAAAATTATAAGTTACAAATTGAGGGGGCTTGCCTTGACAAGGGCTGAGATCTTTTGGCTTCTGATCAGCAAACTTACCATGTTTTGCATTGCGGCTGAGAAGTGCAGTGCACTGAGGTTTTATTTGCCTGAAGATACTCTCCAAGTTCGCAAAGTTCTGTTGGGAAACTGCTTGCTTTGCAGTATGTTTGTGGCTTCAACCGCAATCTGCGGTTACTTTCTGTGCATCATCCGTCGTTGTTTTGCTCAACATGCCCTCCTAGACCAGACCATTTTGGAGGAGTGGAGCCGTATGCCCGAAGGGGATTTCAAGGCTGCTCCTCGTCATCTCCTCGACGAACTTCTTGCTTCCCAACCAGAGGATCAACAAAAACTAAAAGACGCAGTGGCATTTGCTTTGAAAGCTCCAAAAAAGGACGAGAACGAGGGTATTTTCATGTGGCGTCAACACTGTTGCTTTCATGCAGTCCTTCCTTCTTCACTGTATGCTTTAGGGTTTGGGATATTTGCAGTGTGTGCATTCTTCAGAAACTTGAGGAGGGGGGCAAACCCGCAGAACGTCCGAAGAACAAGCAAGCTGCAAAAAGGGTCGAGAACGAGGAGGGTTTTTTCATGGCGCGTCAACACTGTTGCTTTCACGCAGTCCTTCCTTTTTCACTGTATGTTTTAGGGCTTGTGATGCTTGCAGTGCGCGCAGTCTTCAGAAACTTGAGGAGAAGGGCAAGCCCGCAGAAAGTCCAAAGGGCACTTTGCAAGATCTGCGCCGAAAGTATGGCAATCTCAAGACATGCATTGGTGTCTCCGCTCAAAGTTTGAGAAAGTGAACTGGCATAATGTTTTTTAAATCCAAGGGCTGCCCACCCGTGTCCAGCTAGCTCTGGACATTGGTTGCAGCTAGCTCTGTCATCTCCAGGTGAGGGTGTGGCTTCTGAACGCGACCAAGGATGTGAGTGAAGTTTTCAACATATGCCTTATGCATGTCGACACTACGACATGTACCATGTCACTATGACAAGTCGTATTCAAGAGGCATGTTCCCTGCCCCATCCCCTTGAATGCTCCCCAGCCGGTGCAAAGTTGTATGTTCCAACTTGACCTGAAAGGTGTGTTCTGAAGTGACCCTGTTACCTCCAAGAAGCTCCCCCCAAACGGCCCCTAGGCGATGACTTGAAAACGGTGCGGAAGTCGTTCTTGGACCAGCTCCTCAATGATTGGCAGCATGACGCGGTGCTTGAAGACCAGCTTGG